GTCCACATGTAGTACCTATATATGTAGTATCAAAGCAATTGGACTTGCGGTTTTTAACAAGAAGTCGAAAATATCAGTTTTTACCAAAAATGACAAAAATATTCACCAAAATTAAAGAATTAAAGATATCATTACAAAATTAACAAATCTGAGAGAGGTCCACATGTAGTACCTATAGATGTAATATCAAAGCAATTGCGCTTGCGGTTTTTAACAAGAAGTCGAAAATATCAGTTTTTACCAAAAATGACAAAAATATTCACCAAAATTAGAGAATTAAAGATATCAACATGAAATGAACAAATCTAAGAGAGGTCTACCCAAGGTACATATACACCAAGTATCAAAGCATTTAGGCTTGTAGTTTTCAAGAAGAAGTCGAAAAAGTAAAACATTGACACGGACGACGACGACGGACAATCACTCATATGATAAGCTCCGCTCGACAAAGTCGACAGCGGAGCTAAAAAAGATTGAAGAGAGTTGGACTAAGATTACATCCCTGTTCAACACCAATATTGAACTGAAATTGTTTTGTTAAGCCTTCTTTATATTTTACTTTACTGTACATGTTTTTGATAGTTTTATACATTTTCCCTGTTATACCATATTTGATTAACTTTTTGAATAGACCATCATGCCAGACACTGTCAAAGGCCTTTCTAAGGTCAATAAAGCAGGCATATAATTTTTTTGATTTTTTAATATTTGTGTTATTTTGTTTATTGGCGCTCTCTGACTTACCACTGTAGAGATATTTATTTACCAGGGTTTTTAGTATGAAAAGATTGTCTGTAGTTCGACAATCATGCCTGAATCCGAACCGTTGACCGGAAAGAATGTTATTAGAGTCTAAAAATGATGTCAGCCTAATATTGAAATGGCCACAATTCAGCAATCTTGTATCACATTGAAAAAACAAATAAATGTGCATATATGTGACATGATGTATGACGTAAATATATAGTTCAAACGTGATCAAGGCATGTCAGAGATATAGATCTGGAACAGCATTCTTTAAAACAAAATGGCCACCAGTCTACCATTTTGAATCTTAGCAAAATGCATGCATGATTTGGGTCCCATAATGTCCAAAGTAAGTATCAAGTTTGAAGGAAGTCTGTCCATACACAACTAAAATCCGGTTTTTAACATTAAAATGACTGCCATTCAGCTAAATCTGTGATTAAAACAATATGACATGCTTCAAGACTCAATGAAATGATCAACGCTGTTCAATCCTTTGATTGATATGTGTGGTACCTTTGTGACAAATTCTAAAACACTTCTTTTTGATATTTCTTTATGAGCCCTTGAACCCCATTGAAACTGATAAGATGGTGGGTCCGAGTTCAGAACTCTGTTATAGTCCAAGTACCTGGAAATAATGAAAAAGTGAATAACAACTGTTAGATACAATACAATCACTTTCACAAAGACCTTTTAATTTATACATTTAGAATGATGATCAAATAAAAATACCATTGACCAATCAGAGCCTTATCAGCCCATTATTGCGAGATAAGTGAGTCACCCGGCGATTCCAGCTTCAATAAACAGGTTTAGACTACTGTCATCTGCTGTTTATTATGGCCCGAGCAGCTGATCGCATACATTCAATGAACCCTGTCGCATATCGCGTGAGATACTCCTTCACGTTTGACAAATCAGAACGTGCCATTTCAATATACGGCAATGCACGGCATTATAATACCAACCAAAATTATTATTATATAATACAAACCGCCATTTTGACTTCTGACCTAAAAATATAATCTCCCAGAAACTCAAAATAAATTTGTTTATTAATTTTAAGGTTCTGCCCCCAAGCAGTTGTGTTGATAGTAATTATTCTATTCAAAATATATATATCTGCGAACAATTAAATTAAAGAGTTATGAAAGTATTTTCTGTGTCAGTCATGATTGGAGGAATGACAAAGATATTTACAGGTAATATGACAAAATGCCCAGGCCTCAGCCTCATGTTTGTTGGGTAAGCAATGCAGTG